CTCCCCCTCACTCTGTCTCATTCTTACCCATTGAATATGTACTCCTCACTCTTACACATTGAATTCCTTAAGTGGGCCCATAGTAGCTTTGTCTATCTACTATTATGTATTTCCATTTGATTCGTTTTTTATTAGTGCGAACAAAAATACCTAATGATAATGTATTATTCCCGTAAAAAGAAGAAATTTCATTATTTTAATGCAAGAGAGAAACGCTTATCCTACGAAAGAGGAGGACGAGAAGTAACGTTAAATATCCCACTTGGAGCAATTCCGTATGCATATTTTAGTTGCGCGACAAAATTCTCGGCATGAATTTGCATTATTGAGGAAATCGAGTTGGAGTATTGCCTCCAGGGCCTCTCAACTTCAAAACACTTCCGGCTCTAGAGTAGGTACTCATCTTTGCAAACAAAATGCCGCAATAACTTTTAGAGTATTGTTGTTTGTTGCTTTCGACTTCGCCTTTCTTATTCCATCTGGCAGACCGAGTTCGTGTCTGCATAAATATTGGACGAGATGTACGGATATGGCTTTTAGGCTGAAGTCTATTTTGAGATTAAATATAAATAATCAAATTTTACTTCTGTAATGTTGCACATTTTATACGAAATACAAGATGACGAAAATAAACAGGTGCTAAATACGTAAAATAACTAGAGCAATGTCAAGAAGAACTTCAATCAGCGATTTCCCAAAGTTAGTACATTCTCAGAATATACTAAGCATATGTTACGTGACGTTGTTTATACGTGCTATGCAGATACTGAGAATGCACTTCAAGTATATGTACAGTATGCAATAAGTATCTACATTCATTTGATAGTACGTTCTAAATATATGCTAAGTATTTAAATATAGCATATGCTAGGCATATACTAGACACCCTAATACAGGATATTTCATTAAAGAATAAGGGGGTTATGATTGACAACCTGTGTTATTTTTAACAGGTCTGTTATTTTATAAACACACAGAAATTACAACCTGTTCACAAATAACGTGTCTGTTAAAAATAACATTACTTGTCGATCATAACGTAAGTGTATATAATGAAAGTCTTGACCATTTTTTAAATCTTTATGTCCAAAAATTCATACTTATTCTTATTTTTATTACAAATTCTTTCTTTGGCCTTAACCAACCAATATTTTATTGTATCAATGGCTTATGGCTTGAGTTTTATTTGCTTGCTTCCATTCAAAAATTTAAAAAATCAACAAACTTGGTACATATACATATACTAACTAATGGAATATTTTAAATATTTTTGTCGAACGTAAAACATTAAAAATTGTACATGGTATGGGGCACATTATCTGAATGAATAATTAGTGGACTGTAACTAATAGGGCTTCGCTGGTAGGTCCTGAAATGGCGTGTAAAACTAAAACGATGCATTTTACTACTAAACACTTTTATTTACAATACAAAACTATTTATACTATTTACAGTAGGGTTAAAGATATGGCCAGAAGCCAGACTTACGTAAGATGCCTAGAAGGCAGAGCTTTACATACAATATATTATTTATAATGCAATATAAATGCAATTTATTAATGGCTGTTAATGCAGAACAGTTAACAGCTCAAAGTTAAGACATGAAGTGCCATCATCCATCATCGTACTTCCTATCTGAATTCAATCCAGCAGGAAGCCGAGTTGTCAAAAGTTACCAACTTGAGATAATAAAAAGAACTAATGCAACAATAGTGGTGGAGGTTGTCTCCAACACATGGCATTTCACTAACAAAAACAAGAGTTGTATAAATGATTAATATGTTTAGTGAAAGTTTAAATATATTTTTGTTAATTTCTTACCACCATTTTGTAGTTTTCGTCCTCCTTTAGTTAATTTTCTAGTTCTTCAAGGTTAATTTCGGCCTTATAGTATTCTTTTTATAGAAAGTGTATGTATTTCTAGTAACACTCAGTGTATTTCAGTTTCGATTCGTCATTAGTATCACAAATCACTTACTTTAGTGTTAACCATATTAATAAATTTACACTGGCAATTAAAAACTACAAATATAGTAAAATTTGTTTATTTTTATATAGAACATACGATGCAATTAATTTTTATTAATTTATTTACCTCAAAAAATGTGTAGGTTATGTTATTCTTCTTCTTCTCTTCTATTAAGGTTGTGAATGTTTTTTGGCCTGAACACTCAACAATAGTGCGTTTGCTAGCGAATTATCAGATCGTCATCTGGGAAAAATTCGTATATAAACGTGATTTTACATGTATTTGGTGTTAACTTTTACCTGTAAGCATTTAGAACATTCTCAGAATATGAGGTACATGCTGGGTATATGACTTTTAGTATCTTCTAAGATGTCCTGTTATAGCACATGCTCAGTATATACTTTTTAGAATATACTTTTAAGGCACGTACTCAGGTATATACTTTTTAGAATATTCTTTCAAAGCACGTACTCAGTATATACTTTCTAGAATATATTTTCAAAGTATATACTAGGTATATTCTTAGAACATTCTAAAAAGGACATACTAAAAAGAACAAAAACAGAACGTTCTTAATATAATCACAGAACATTGATGTTATGTGGGATAGTTTCTCCACCTCTGATGTTCATTCTATAGTCTGAATGAAAGAGGATTGCAGAAAAGTGTGGGTATAACGTCACATCATAGCCGTACTGGAAAAAATTATTAAGAAAAAACAAAGTGACGTCCATATACAGACGCCATTTTGAAAAGAGATACCAGAATGTCGGGAACTTAATAATATATAGATGCCAAAACGATAGTATGATTTAAGTATTGCGTCCTAAGACTATGGAGTCACTTCTATTTATGTCCTCGATTGCCTGCTCGATATCAAATTCTTTGGTTAGACAGCTTCAGTTAAGTTGGTTTTGAAATTGAAAGCTTCTATAATTATTTTTTTTACTTGCAATGCGTGTGAGTAAAAAATACTGTGTCAAAAGGGAGATAAAAGATACTACTATTTTTTTGTCGCCTTTTTTGGTCGCTCTACGCTTGAATGTATGGTTGAATGTTTTTAGTTTTGCTATAAGAGCGGATGGTTGAATTTAAAAATACATTAAATCCTATAAACCAACAGGAGTAAAGGAAAAAGAGAGACAAACTTTTAGTAAGTTCCTGTATTTTTCTAAAAATATAAGATTTATACATTATAAAATCAAAATTCCTTTTAGTCAAGATTTGTACGACATAAAATACACATAGAAACTTGATTTTATAAAACAGTTTGGCCTTTATTCTATCAAAAATGGCGCATAAAATTCAATGAATTTTATATGTAAACCGAAACTGTAATAATAAACTCTCTGTGATCCCGCTCGTTATTTAATAATAGAATACCCATTTCACGTAAACATTTAAATTATTAATCAAAAATTGCATCCTGTTGGTGATCGATATCCCAACTATTATCAGGAAATAGAATTGAAAATCTGGTTCAGATGAAAAGTGAATTAGTTCGGAAATTCAATTTTAAATATGGAATTGCATTTTGGTCAAATGATAGGTATATTCATTATTTATATCAGCTCTTTTAATGTATTTTAAATAATCTTTGTCTCATGATAAGAATGAAACTTTCTACTGAGGATGGCTATGAAAATTGGGCCCATTTTAGTGTGTATAATATTAATTAATATTATATTATATATTATATTATATATTATATATTATATATTATATATTATATATTATATATTATATATTATATATTATATATTATATATTATATATTATATATTATATATTATATATTATATATTATATATTATATATTATATATTATATATTATATATTATATATTATATATTATATATTATATATTATATATTATATATTATATATTATATATTATATATTATATATTATATATTATATATTATATATTATATATTATATATTATATATTATATATTATATATTATATATTATATATTATATTATATTTATTTTAATATTATGTTTCACTAAAGAAGTATCCAAAATAAGATATTTAAAGGGAAAACAATTATACGTTTCCTTATAGTGTACCTAGGTATATTACCATTTCCTATTTCCCTCTCTATATCTCTTCTATAAATATATTAACTCCAGTCAGCGCATAATAATGTCGGTTCTGTAGGTGGCACAAAGTCGATGCTATTAAGCCATTCTGAATATTTCATACAAAAGGGGTAACTAAACGATTTCATCCCGATGTCAATGACACAACAGTGTTTTGTAAATAGTTATATAGGGCTGGAGGGATCCCTAAATGGGGGTCCTTAAACGTACGATTCTATATTATTCAAATGCTGTCAGTAAACTACTCAAAACGAGATCCAACATTAGATTAATGTCTGCAAAGCTGGTTTTGACAGAAGACACGTAGGAGCTGTGTATAAGTATCTAGTGATCCTGGCGCTTTTATTTAAATACAGTGGTAGATAATGAAAAAAAGTTATATACAGCTATCTTTATTAAAATTTTACGAAGGGTCATTCCGATATGGATCAAATAACAAGAATTTTAGTTTATATAAAAAAAATTAACGCAGTTATAATAGTTTCAATTCCTGCTTTTCTCTACCTCAGATTCTCTTGCCTGTTGCTGTAACTCCTACTATTTATAACTCCCATTCAGCTGCCTCCTGCTCTATTTTACTCCATTCACTGCATGTTTTTTCTGCTATCTTCTCTTGATTTTTTTTTAAATAAAACTTTATAACTTTTTCTTTATCTTTTTTTAACTTTAATTTCTTAAATATTTGCATTTTTAATATATAACATATTTCCATTTTTCATATCTAACATACTCTCCATCAATATCTTTATTAAAAAAACAGACCTTCTAGCCAAGAAGAGAGATGTTATAATGTATCTACATCGATGTTAAAGGGTTGTTAAATAAACAAGTTAATAGAGAAACACTATAATAAGCTTTGGCGAACTTCCTGGAGTAGTCATAATTCCTATACAATATTAATTCTTTTTTTTTTCCTTGTTGCAGAGAGCTGATGTGCCAGAAGGTAATCTGTTATTGGAGTCGTTGGTGTTGCTGTAGAAGTTGACTGGAGTGTGGCTGTCATGTCCTCTAAACAAGATATGGCAGGAAAGTGGAAACTTTTCTCAAAAGTTGGCAAGTAAGTATCATAAATTTTCTTCTTTTTATATACGTACTTGTTGAAAATGTGCGTATTCAAAAGAGGAATTAAAAAAAGGGAGTTTCAAGTTATTTAAATTATTAACATTAAAATCTAAGATACCAGGTGGCAAAGTCAAGTTAATGCAATAACTTATCTAAGATTCTAATGCTTTGTATAAAATGTTATCTTCCAAATAAATTTAAAAAGATTTAAAAATACGGTTGCCTTGCTGTATATATAAAGTAAATATTGCAACATTATGAGGAAATTTGGATAAACAAAAAGGTGCGTCCATAAAGAACAACCACGAAGGTTAGGTAGTTCTTATTAAAGTGTATTATGTTAAAAAAGCTGCCACTAAACAGAAATAGCACCAGGATTGTGTTGGGACAATTTAAGTGGTCTTCACCTAAATAATCTTTGTCTGCTCACTGGCTTTTCTTTATCATCAGGAGAGTAGATGCACCTCAATAGTGTTTCTCAACCCGCGGCATAACAGCTGGGCTCATATAAATAGTATATGCAAGGGATTTTTAAAGGATCTGGTCTAAAATAGTACATAAATATCTTCAATAGGCCACTATCGTAAATTTATCATATTTATTTCAGTCAACGGATTTGAAATAAAGTATGAAGAAATAGATTATCAACATTAAGGGAACTGAAATCATCAGTATCCTCTCAGACAACTGCAACAGCCAGCAGGATGTATTTGGAGTACTAGGGTGCTACCAGAGGTGCTTTTTACCAAAGAACCATAACCGTATGCTATATGTGTGAATTAAAATTAACAGTTAGATATGTTTAAACTTGGATTAGAGTAAAATTTTTAAATAAAAAAATAATCTCTTGTATGTCCTGCTAATAGATTTTTAATCTTTTGTCCTTCGGATAATATCTTCTTAAGGTATATCAACCATTATGTGTACTGGTAGTAATTTAGGGCATTTTTTTTACAGAATAATCCCGTGGCCAATAACAGCAGCATCCATTAGAGGGTTTAGAAATCCAGCGCCGGTAACGCACAATTTGACGTCGGCGTCCCGTTAGCATATATCCCGGATGTCCCGCGGGATGCTACGCAGGGACACCTCTACTATGCTTATCTACAGCCTTTCCAATGACGATTCGGAGATAGTGTTCACGCTGAGGTCGCTCGCGCAGGCCGGCATCATCTTCGTCATGGCCTTGGCCATCATCATCACCAACGTCCTCATCATAGCTACCTTAATCAATTTTAGAGGTCAGTAATGTAGAGGTTCTTACACGAATAATTGTATTGGAAGAATAATAATTACTCGTCTTTTCTTAAGATATATTTTATTCAATTTGTTCTAGCAACATGTAACTCTACATTTACTGCTAGAATCTTATCTCTATCTTGCTGTATATGTCCCGCTATAATTTTATACTTTACCCGCTCTTTTTTCTAGTTAACCTAACATTCACCTTCTTCTTATTCGTATTCAACTGGTCTTTTACGTAAAGTTTAATAGGTCATTTATTATTATTTTATTTAATTTGATTCTTATATATAATTCGGTTCTTGAAGTGGACCTATCTAATCTAATTTTTAGCTCTAACTATATATTTCTCATTCATATCCAAGTATTCATTTTCCGAAAAGATATTAAAAGACACAAAAGTATTTTGCTTAACTATATCTTCCTCTATTCCATTTACACTCAAAAAAAGTTAAATATAATTTGTATTAACAATGTATTCTTGTTTGATTTACCAGGACCCTCAGAAGTCATAAACTATTACCTGCTTTCGTTAGCAGTAGCTGATTTACTATGTGGCCTTCTAGTCGTACCATTATCAGTATATCCGGCGGTGGTGAGTGAGTGGGTCTACGGGGACATTATCTGCCGGGTAATTGGTTATTTAGAAGTTACGCTTTGGGCAGTCACCGTCTATACGTTTATGTGGATTAGTGTAGATCGATATCTATCTGTGCGGAAACCGTTGCGATACGAGACTCTTCAAACGAAAACCAGGTAAGTACACCAAACCACATTTTTGCTACACCCGCATGTATATTATCCACTTTATGCACAAACTGCAGAAAGGATAATTTATGAATATTTCCACATACTTGTTTGGGTACAAAGGATATAAGTTTCGTTTTTAATTATTTTCTTATGCAATGGTTGTTGTTGATACAGGGATTATATCCTTTAGAGTGTCGTCAACACATTTAGTCTAATCAGCATCACCTCGTTCTTTCGTTTACATATTGGTTTATTAGCAATAGTTTTCTTATTACACTGCTAGGCTGTGATGCCGATATGAAGAATGATAAAGACATTTCTTCCGGAAAAGATATTACAATCGGTGAAACTGTAGATGATATTTTAAATAAATTTGAAACTCCAGTCACACCTGATTTAAATTCAAAACTAGAAGTAATTGACAGTAATGTTGATAAAAATAGAGCCAATAAAGATATACAGAGTTGAAAAGGCTCTAGCCTAAATGATGACTGATTCTTAAAAAGGTTCTTGGCTATTTTAATTTCTAATTTTCTTATGATCTGCAATATTATCTTTAGATTGATCCTGATCCTGAGTACATTTTTATCAGTATTGTACCAAATTTTATCTGTACTTTTATCTTGTTCATTTTCTTCTAAAATTGTAGATGCAATTGTTTAAATTAGCTTAAATGTTTCTTCTATTACGTCAGTTACAATAAAACCTCGATTTCTTAACGATTTTTGACAATAATTTTCGCATCAGGCGACAAAGACACGTGTTTTACTTAAGGGCGCCAGAATATTACGTTCGCAGTCAAATCTTTGCAAAATTCTGCTTCAAAATAATCAAACGAGGCTATTTAAATATAATCCTATTTTATACGGGGCCTATAAACTCTTGCAGCGAAACTATCCGATGATGATTGCAAGATGAATATTGGTCAAATTCCTATCTCTCAATTCTATAGCAATCATTTCTGAGTGGAAGATCATATCCTAAACATTAGAAATGAAAGGCATTTCCTTATAACATTACTACAACAACAGTATTTTAGTGACTCTGGTGACATCACGAAATGTAATTCAAATTTTGATTTAAATTGGGGGATTTCAGAATCAAATTTGGAATATAAGAAATTTTAATACTTATATCTTTTGATTTGTTATTTATTTGAAATGATGCATGCTTCAATAAAAATAGAAAAAATTTTGTTGGTGAAATAATGACGATAAATATAGAAGTATTCAAACAAACAAAACAACATTACAGAAAAGCTTCTCTTCACAATTCTAAACATTTTGCGTGGTAACATAATTTTTGTTCTAATACCTAAGTTTTGGTAAGCTTATAAAGAAATGCCTTTAATTTGTTTACGGATAGAACATTGAGGAATATTTAACTGGGACATTGAAAATTCCAGTAAAATCTAACCACTATGCTATAACTTTTATTACACCAATAGAATGCTATTAGGTTTATCGAATTATCTACATAAGGAAACTTTAATATTTTCTGTAATCGGTGTTTTCCCAACTATATTAGTTTTCTAACCGTATTCCTGCAGGAATATTATACATATTGCAAGCGCATTCGAAATATTATTACACCTACATGTATTTTCGTACTTTTATTTTATTTGTAAGAGATAATATTCTAAATATGTAAATATATAAGCTGAATACTTAATATCAATCTACCAATACCCATGTCAAGTAACATTTACACCTTTTCATATACAGATTCGGAAATTTAAACGCGGACCATTTAAGCCAAATCTTTTAGAAACAAGTAAAGTTGAAGTGAGGTGGAAGTCGTACGTACCTTGCGCAAGGCCACATAATAAGTAGCGTGGTTTCCTTGGTGTAATAACTATTCCTTTAGGGTTTAAAATATTTATTGAACATTTAACACATGAACTGGGAATACACACTGGTTTTTTAACTAGGTTAACATTTCAAGCGGCATGTGTACGACAAGCGGTGTAGTTCGGCCATTGACATCGACTTTGACGTGTGTCACTTTTCAGCATGCGATGTTGGCAGTCCTGACAGAACAATTAGCAGTCTTTGTTTATTCACATGTGATCCTATTATACCTTGTCCAATTCATCGTAAAATAAAGAGTCAGCGTTTAGATTTTCGTATCTGTATTTAAGAGATTCTACATAAATAATGTAGGTACAGCTATAATTGCTTAAATATTGTGAGGACTAAAAATAAATACTTACTTAGTGATATTTCCATGACGACCCTTGTGGTTTTCCAGTAATCGATAAATATGTCACCTGTTGTAAAAAATACAAATTGTTTTATTTTTTAACATACTTAATCCTAAGCTTACTATCTTTCAGTGTACCTAAGGCCCATTTGAAAACCGTAAACACAGAATTTGGACTGCCTGTGTTTTGTTTACATCTGGACCTGTTTGTTTTTCAAGGGTAATATACCAAGACACTGATAATAGTCAGCTATTTTTGTTGAATCTAAATCTCGAGAATATTTTAATATCAATGTGATGAGACATAATTTTCGATATTAATCAGTCAATAAATCGAGTATTAATGCCAAAATTATGTAGAATCAAATTGCAAAAATAGCAGAATATTAATCAAGGTCGTGATATATTTGGGACGACTATTACACTAGACCAAATATCGACTATTTCTCTAGAGAAATAGTCGCTGATATTTGGTCTAGGGAGACAGTCGATAATATCCTTATTCTTTAGAAGCATTTTTTTGTAAAATTGGGTGCTGTATTCACGTTTTTACTCATAATTAAAAACCAAACCTTACAAGGTAAGGAAGCGTTCAAACGTTCTTTAAAATAAAAAATATAAGTAAAAACAAAAAGAGAAGAAGAGATTCTTTTACAGCTTCACTAAACCTCGCTTCCATTTAATTGGAGCAAACAAATTACATCTAAGCTATGCTTGAGATGCATTGAAATACGATTTCAAACAGGCCTGAGTTATGTTGATTTACTGTTCCATATATTCTCTATTGCTGCCCTTTTCCAGAGGGGTATAATTTTGATTAAAACTTGAATGACATTTTTCAGGTGCCAGTGTTGGATGGCCTTTACCTGGATTTCCGCAGCAATGCTCTGTTGTCCCCCCCTCCTGGGTTTCACGAAACCACTGTTCGACAAAGAGGCCTACATCTGCATGCTTGACTGGGGCAGTATGGCGGCCTATACAATTACTCTATCCATCCTTATCCTGGGGCCCAGCCTCATAACTATAGTCTACACCTACACTTACATTTTCAGGTAAGTTTTATTTAAAATAATACATTTAATCTTTCAAGGGCTAGGATATAGATTATATTTGATATCGTGAAAAGTAAAACACACATTTCTGAAAGTCCAATAATTATTTGGCTTAATTCACCTTCTTGGCCCACTATCAGTATACCTTTACAACCAAAATATGACTTCTTGATTTAATTTTTTGTTAAATAGTACTCGAGAGTTCACTTCGAGATTTCATGTGCCTCTCGCTAAATTAATAGACATACCATTTTAACAGCATCAGTGGTACCATTAGTTTCACTGATCCAGTAATTTCTGACCCTCACGGCGTAATGTTTCATACCAAACATTCACCAATAGTCCTTTTCAGGAATGTTAACAATGGTATATGTAAATAAATATGATTAAGGCCATATTACTCTAAATTAAAACTATCCATATTACTCTAAATTAAAACTATCCATATTACTCTAAACTGTTAATGTTTGACCTTGAACATTTTCACAATAACTTCTCTACAACAAATTAAAAACCTCACTTTATTCTGATTCATATATTTTATTCACGTAAAGATTTGGCGCATATCAGATATTAATTTGATGTACCCCCACTCTCGATTCTGGGAGTTAAAGCAACTTCTAACTTCGTTTACTTTCAAAAGATATTTAAAATACAGAAATCTGACCATATTACCTTTTACTTATCTTATTTTAACTAGTTATTTAAGTTAAACATTTAAAAGTTTTGGGATAATTCAAAAAATTATGTTTTCCTAGCATGCTGCGGAAAATCAGGAGCGGCTTTCCCTTCCACGACAAGGAGTACGCTACTGCGTTGTCGGAGAACTTATCGAATCCCAGCCATATGATGTCCTTCACCTTAGTGATAGCATTTTGGTTATCCTGGTTGCCTTACATAGGAATCACTCTTTACGAATATTTTACATCGCCTATGGAGAATCAGCAAGTAAGTTAAAATCTTAGGTGTTAAGGTAGCTTTTCCGAAATTCATAATAGCGGTTGCCAATCTTTATGAGGACCTGATCAGTCGCATATTATTAATAAATATCTAAAAAATTAATTCAAACGATGTTGCCACCACTAGTAAACGCCACGGTAGAACTTGAATTTTACTGGTCAGGTCTTTTCGCCAAAGCCCTTGAAGGTGTAAATGTCAAGGAAGTTATCACCAATTTTGGGCCAGGTGTAAGCGCAGCCCCACCTGCATCAGTAGCCCTTTCCACTAAAGATAAAAAGACGAAATCTAAACCCGAAGAATCTAGCGATGATATAAATCTTGATATCTTCGACTAATAATTGTACATAGATACCTATACCTATCGGTATAGATTTAAAAAGGGGTTCGACCAAATGAGCTCTCTGGCCCGTCTCAATCTTGAATATTTATTCCACCCATCATGAGACTCTTTTTGCACCCATTATTTGACGGATGCCTTGCTCAATGCCATAGCAACTGCATAGAAGGGTTCAGGGCCTGTCGTGGCCTTATCTGGTCCTTCTAGTGCTAGTTCATCGACCTCGTGGCCCTGTACCTACCCATGCTTTGTTTTGATTACTTACCTCTGTCAAGTCTTCTAGGCAAGCTTTCACTTGTCGTGATGGTAGAATTGCCTTTAGAGTCTATCAAAGTAGATCCTTGCTGACTTATTTTTTATCTCGTACAGTATTGTATGGTTGTTCTGTCTGAGAAACAATATAGCATATTCTCCTAGACTCAGCAAAATTGTTGTTTTGCACTTGGGTCTAAAGATTCCAGCATTAGATCCTTCATTGGTTTAGCAAACTAGTTAAGCCTATATGGGCGATTTGTTTCTAGGATTCTGAGGCTGGTATTTAGATTTTTTAATTTGTGTGGTTATGGTTATAATAGTAGGCATTCCTATAATTTTATACTTTTTACTTATCCGCTTGCAAATGACAGACTTGATTCATCCTTGTATGAAGATGTGCAATGGCGTGGGGTAATAGTTACTCCATACTCGTGCTGTAGTTCGAGTAGTACACATGGCTTCTGCGGCACTCAGACAAGTTAGCCGTTGAATTGTATTAAGTTGGCCTATTGTACTTGACTGTGCATATACGGAATGTAAATCTTAGGTTATATCATGGTATTTCGTCAGGCAACTTCCACCAAGGGGTTCGGGATCCTTATTCATAATTCTGCACCGTGAATGATCTTCATGATATATGGTATTCAAACTCAACTGACTTGGAATGAAACGTCTGGTGATGAATCCAAAACCGTCTAGAGATTGAACCAAAACCGTCTAGATATAACCATGAGCTTATAAAATCAGACGGATTTTACGATAAATAAAAATCATTTAATACATCGGATGACCAAGATAAATTAAAATAAATGTGATTTATTTGATCTATTCAAATAAAAATGAAAATTTTGACATAAGGCATAAACGAAAATGACATTTGAGTAAGAGGTGATTGTGTCGAAATAACGAAATAACGGTTCCAACCGTTACAAATGAACATTTTGTTGTTTAGGGCACAGTTTTTCATTTATATTCTTCTACAGCTTCAAAGAGCTATTGTAGCTTTGTATGCAAATTTTTTGATATGTTGGTTCTACGTTAGCCTTTAGTCGAAGATGACTTCGAGGTATTTGGCTTCTGTAACAAAAAATGGAATAGCCATGTTGTTTAATACCTAGTGGTTTTAATCCTGCAAGTACCCGTTTTTTGTGAATGGTACAACTGTTGTTTTTGCGTTAATTATTATTCCTTTTTACACCAGTTGTTCACTAGGTTGAGCCGTGCCTGCAAATCGTCCCCAAACGATAACTTTTATGCTTATTATATTCTCTTTACAGGTGCTTCACTTTGGAATCGTATGGCTGGGTTTTCTCAACTCCTTCTGGAAGTCCGTGATCCTGATCACTATGAGTCCGCAGTTCCGATTGGCCCTGCGTATATTCTGCATGACGATCTGCTGTAGATATAGCAAGGGCCGTCTCCAAGCCGAATTGATCGGCATGGACGATGACTGACTACTCTGTTGCTTTCCCGCCCTAACCTCTAATTTTCCTATAACGGGCATTGCTGTGAGAGACTATGAATTTTTTATAGGTAAGTCACAGTTCTAAAGATCACTTTCTTATTTTTTCTCTTAATTCTTAAATCTTTAGCGCACGAGTTTTTATTTTCATTGAACACATTGCTGGAATCTTCTAAAATAACTGCCAATAATTGCCGCGTTTGAGAATCCACATCGGATGCATCTGAGATGTAGTACATCTTTGATCACGTGATTCAGTATACGTAAATGTAATGGGACAGATGTGTCCGATGTGGATAAAAAAACGCTCGAGATGTAAAAAATGCATCCGATGTGGATTCTCAAACGCGGCAAATGAAATGAAGTTGGCGAGCATTCTTCTGCTGTATGCAACCAAATATACAATGATGTACAATAGTGTACTTACAGATATCGATCATACATCTTGTATGTAAGGTTGATGTATGTAAACAAGTAGAGATGGACAACATTTTCAAATAACAGATGAATCAAGGATACACGTAATCTGGATCGAATCTATGTTAATAGGAAGACTGATACATACTCAGAGAAGTAGATTCATACGAAGCCTGTCTAAAAAGTATCCAACCTTAATTTTTCCCGCGCAAAGTAGTGATTCTAAGGCGGCGCCACTGTGCACGGTGGAAGGAGGAACCTTAATGCGCAAGCTTGAATTTTTTCACCGTATTCGCTTGTGCAAGTCGTTGGCTGGTGGTCGCCAAGTAAGGTACTGTTCTTAGTGTTCGTCGGATTTAGTTTTCTCGCAATATGACTGAACGAATTGAGATAAGATACTGCATCAAATTCTGTCAAAAGCTTGGTGATTCTCAAAGCCAAACAATTCGTAAAATTCAGCAGGTGTTTGGAGTAGATGCGATGGGTGTAACACAAATTAAGGAGTGATTCAACCTCTTCAAAGATGTCCGCACATCAGCGGAGAGTGAGCAGCATTGTGGCAGGCCCCAAACTGCTCGGAGTGCAGTTAATGTTGAGAGAGTGCGAAATTTGATAGCGGCAGATCGTCGTTTGACAGTGCGGGAGATTGCAGAAGATGTTGGAGTGAGTAAAGATTCTGCACATGCAATTTTGCGTGAAGATTTGAACATGTACCGGGTGGCTGCGAAATTCGTACCCAAGTTGTTGTCGCCGAAACAAAAAGATCTTCGTTTTGACATTGCACAAGACCTTCTGGACACCGCCAACATTGATCCTGGGTTTCTGAACACCGTGATAACTGAAGATGAGTCATGGGTGTACCTCCCTACTCTCCAGACCTGGCTCCTTGCGACTTCTGGTTGTTTCCAAAATTGAAGACGCCACTGAAAGCATCCCGTTTTGAGAGTAGAGAAGAGATAATGCGGAACGCGACGACGGAGCTGAACACCATTCCAAAAGACTTCCAGAGGTGTTTTTAGCAGTGGAAGGATCGGTGGGCTAAGTTTGTGCAAGCACAAGGGGCCTACTTTGAAGGGGATTAGGGTCCCAACTCCGTCAGGTATTCGAAATATTTTTTCTGGCCAAAGTTCGGATACTTTTTAGACAGGCCTCGTACAATCATTATAGCCGAGATGCCAGCAGCCCGGGATATGAGAGGATTCCCACAGGAAGGAGTACTGTATCCTCTTCTGTTGCACCTGGTCATGGATGGGCTGCTTAGTAGAGGTGGGAAGTTCGAATCTTTTTACTGAATTAATTCATTTGATTCATTCACCTAAAAAGATTCGTTCTTAAAGATTCGTTCTCAAGTGATTCACTTTAGCGAACCACGAACGATGTTATTCCGCCGATCCGTCGAAGGAAATCAAACCGAACGTTTACGAATTTACTAGGTCGTCGAGTGGCGTTCAGTCTGTAATGCGTAAGAAAGAATGTAATGATTTGAGTGGTGAGATGCTTAAGTAAAATAATTAATACCGGTTTTATTTTAATTTGATATTTTAAAGTATAGCGAATTAATATTTCATAAAAAGAAGACAGATGGAAATTTAAATACTATAATAGCAGGTTCATCCTTGTCCGTTAAGATAAACAACAGTAACACAATTTTTTTTAATGCTAAATATAGCCAAAACTAACGAAAAATTATAGATATATGATTCGTCATTTATTGCTTTACTTATTTACTTTGATTTAAATTTATTTATCAGACAACGCGCATAAATTGTTTACCTAAGTTTAATACACCTCTGGTAAAGTGAGAAAAACATTACAGACACATACCGCCACCGCCTGTAAGTTCGAGTTCTTGTATTATGCTGTAGAACGTAGAACAAAAGCGACCGATTTGCCGATGCTGATTTAAAATACCGAATCTTCGAATCAGATCCGAATGAACGAAACAACCAAACTCGGAATTGGGCGTTCTTGATCGATCACAGAGCCGTCGAACAACTGACTCAAAAAAGATTCGAATCTTTTAAAAACAGGGAATTAATTCATTCGAGTCAGTGCACTGATTCGTTCTTTTTGAACGAATCGTTCGCGAACGACACACCTCTACTGCTTAGGAATCTAAAAAATAATGGATATAAAATCCTAGCACATAGCTTTCTATAAGGATTGATTACTGGACATGCCCCAGTAAAGAGACACCTCTATTGTGACCTGAAAATGCCAAACATAGGTATCCTGTCATCTACAGGTTGATCCAAGAGCATATAGAACACGCTGTCATATATAAACTTGTAGGTACAAGGACCAGAAGCGAGTGTGAAATCGGTAAAACAGAGGACAAGTCTGTATATGTTTCATTTATAGGAAATGATGATACAACGACTCAGTTTACATTACATTTTGTTTTAGTCATATTTTTCACGTGATATATGATGCTGTAGAGTATTAAGAGTTCCGAATGAATATTTTAATCCATAAATATCTAAAAATAAGAAACATTTTTGTTTCAGGTAAAATAAGAAGATACTGGTGCCAATTTTCGCGACATGAACATTTTCAGCGATGACTTGTTTCGAAAATTTAAATGTGATTATTTTTTAGAATGCTGTATGACGTAGGTGAACATATGTATTTTATTATAATATGATAATGGCGATGATAATAATCGTATAGCATTAAAAAGGAAAAATTATGCGAATGTTAGACGGTTATTATCATTATTTTCATTATTATTGAATCGTACAAGTCAATTATCATAGTGTAGGCTAATCTACATTTCTCCTTGCGGGAGAATATCGAATGATTTTTAACCCCCTTTGTTGTTACACCGACGATATTTTAATGTGATTATTATTTTCTTGTATCATTCCTAGTACGACTTTTTAAATCTAGATGTTGATTAAATACAGTAAATGTTATCAAATTTAGTGTTTTTAATTGACATCCTGGACTATGTCTCTTAATATTTTTAATTATAGAATAAAGACAGGGCTTAACACCAAGTAGTTATATGATAAAATCAAAAAACCAACAAAATACTTAGGATATTTCTAGAAAAAAAAAATGCGTTTACTTTATAGTCATCATTACAACGTGTAGGCTAAATATTGTCTGATACAGATAATTTGTAATATTGTATACAAAAGAAATCAAAAATATTTTTAGAAGGTATAAAATGGAATGAAGAATTTGATAAATTCAGCAATCAAATAAAGGTATACCATTATTTTTTAAATAAATTGATATATTCGATTTCTTTTGTATTCGATAGCTATTACAATAGTCTAAAAATTTTAAAAAGTTCTTAAGATAATAAAAGTAATTAATATGCAACATTAAAATCTTAAATTTAATTAAGTTTGAAGAATTACACATTTTAATTTTTAATGATTATCTACACTTGCCGAGTTCGGGAAATGGACTCCTTTTACTATTTTCACTCTAAATCTAATTTCACATCACAGAGTTACAATGATTTAGCATGGACTTAAGTTGGATATGGAGTCAAAAAAGCAAAAGGAGTTAAACTCAAAGTATATAATAATACTTTTAAGTGTCAATAAATAAGTCGGACCGAAGATTAAAAGCTTCTCACTGGTCCGACGGAAGACTAAATGCCAAATATGCTTGAGTTAAATTAAAACTTTTTTTTAATAATCAGTTGCTCAAAAATGAAAAAAAATCTATATGTCGTCTATCAAAATTTAGAAATTGTTGCATAGATAGAAAGTAGAAACAAGCGTGAAAAGCAATCAAATTATTTGCAAGTTTTTACTGTTACCAACCGAAAAATAAAAAGTAATCAAAAAATAATAAAGGAGCTGTTAAGTTATTAAATATTTTTGATTATGTGTGATTATTCAGACTGTAGTAGCATTGTAGTAATGCTCGTTTTGTCACTTAATTTTTATATTCAACAATTTTATCCTTATTATATTATAAATCGCAATAATTATGTAATATAGAATTGAAAAATATTTCGTAATTTTTAATTGTGTAAATGAACCATTTTAAAAACTGTAAAAACAATTAATCTATAATAATCTTACCTCACTCTGTGGTTGTATATAACTACCATATTTTCTTTATTATTATAAAAAACAAACTTACTATTTTTCCATTTAATTACTTCTTTTTCAATAAATCGAATTAAATTTAATTAATGATATATTTATTCTATTATGTACTTCATTTTGAAGTGGCAAAATTTAGAATGTACAAAATTTTATAGTTCCAAAAAACTAGTACGTGTTGTAAATTGTTGTAAAAAACAAATATGTAAAATAACTAATATTCTTCTGTGCAACGCTTTAAAAATAATTTTCGAAATATTTAGAATTTTTACAATTTTGCAGGTATCTATGCTTGTAACTAATTTCTAATTTAGTCATATATATTTATAGCCGTGCATATGCATATTGCAATACAGGCATGATTTTTGAATATTTTCTTTAATTATCTGTTTATGTTAAAATATTTCACATAAACACAGCAGATTTCTCAGTACAACGATATTAATAGAGTTATTTATACATAGAGAACGAATTTGTTATAGGTCGGACTGAAGACTGATCACTTCTAATATCCGACATAACAAAGCGGGCGGAGGTCTAAAAGATTTTGTCCCAAGTCCGACCGAAGACTGAATGCTTGCAGAACTATCGGACTGAAGACTAAACGCTTTACTACCAATTAATTTATTATTACCTGTTTCTGTGGATTTCGAAAATATTCAAGAAGTCATGTCGTCCATTATTAGTGATGTATCCAGTCGGGTATATTTTAATATTTACCTGTGCTGAATCCATGGTGCAGACGGCCACGGCGCATGTTTCCAAAAGGCCTACTCATCAAGTTGGCGTGCACTTGCTCGAGATATAAAAAAAATTAAGGCAAGTCGCTTGCTTTTGTACAGAGCTCTTTCTATATATCTATGGATATATAATTACTCGTTCAAGTACGTGTTTTATAATCAGTTCATATAGGCCTTTATATATATAGAATTTTGGAGAATCACATGATGTAATTTATAATTTTATTTATATTTAATTGTAACGTACTGGTTTATAAAAACATTTTAATGCATATATTTATTGGGAGACGTTCTAATTCTCCAAAATTCTTAAAGCTTTTGGAATTGTCCACTATATAGTCATATTTTTGGTGTAAATAGTTGAGACATAAATTTTGATGTACAAAAATGTGTAATTTCGATAAAGTTTCAGATGTGTTGAATGTTTAAAAAACTATTACAAGTGATTCGGACACAGTCAATTTCAAAGTTTGATAATATCGCACTCAATTTAAATGTTGCAGGTGAACCTAAGAGTTTTATTTTGAAAGATAACTACAGATGAATCATTTAATACAGTAAGAAATAGTTTAAAAAAGGTTAACTTAGGTAGGTTAAATCAATAGAAGACTAAAAACCGTAAATATTGACAAGTATTTAAATAAACAGTTGCTCAAAGGTTCGAGGATGGAAAGATCAATGTTTGGCTTATCCTAAGCGACAATAAAGCCACGGAAGAATAGAAAATACAGGTTTAACGAGTAACTGGGTCCAAGTGACTCAAAAGGAAACAGAAGATGAACTTAGATGAAATTTAAGCTGCAGGCAATAAAGGAAGATATACCACTACACTACTTTGAGTGGTACTGCTGCAGCGATAATCCAGAAATTTAAATTGCTTCTTTTGAAGAAGAAACTGGTTGTTCACCTATATCTAAACCTTGTCCACCTTAACTTGATACACTCATTTTTTTTAAACATCCAATACATTCTATCAACTACTGTAATTCCTTTTTATCTCAATTATTTAATGTACTGTCAGTTAATGGAAAAATTCTTAAACTCTAACCTCAATGAAAGCATGTAAATATTTTCAGAGTAGTGTAATTAGCAATAAAAATAACGAAAAAAAAAAACTTTTTCTCATCTAATGTAAAAAAAAAGAAAATGTATACCTCTGTTCTTAAGGAATACGAACCAAGAAAGCAATAACTAAAATAATAGTGTGGTCAGCGTCAAATTTTACTTCCCTGCACAGATGGAAATGCAGAAATACACAGTTTTAAGAGCAATATAAAATGTTAAAAGTAGGTGTGGGATTAAAAAAAAACAATGATGAAACTTGATGAAAGTATTATATGATGAAACAATATATAATTATGTTGGTCAAACTTATAAGAAATTCTGGATCCAGGTATGTGCAAAATGTTTTTTTTTACAGGTATCAATATTATGTATAGGTTGTTAATACACAGACATAAAAGATCCATTGTGACTCCCTGTAACGGTTTTATTTTGCCACATTAGAAATATATTAAGGATGAGATTTTATCAGTCTTATATAACTTAAATAATTGTAAAAAATCAAATATCATACCTTTTGGATTCACAAAGTTGTGTGAATTGAGGCATTTTATTTATAAAGGAGTTCTATTATCATACCAGAAGGGTTATGTTTATTTTGATCCTCTTCTTTTACCATTACGATTGGAGATGACCAAGGAGAAGAACTAGGCTCAATGATACCTTTTGCCAGCATATCATCTAGTTCGTCATTCACAATTTTTTGTAAGGTTGCTGAGATTGGGTAGTACGTCTGCTTTATTGCCAGAGAATTAGTCCTAATCACATCACGTGCTGTTCTAAATGAGTGCGCCCTAATACATTACCCATTAACACAAATGCACCGTCGATTACAGAACTTAATCATTGACACTGTTGGCCAGACAAGGTTTCAAAATCTTTAATACCATTTAACTCAACTTCCTCAGCCTTATCTCCAGACCTAAAACTCCATTCAGCAGCAAACAGATCAGGTACAATTTCCTGGCGCCCAACGTGGGACCTATGAGCTAGAGGACAAAACTAAAAAATCTCTTGTCGTATGGAATGCGAAAGATCTAGAAAAGAAAAGGATCAAAATAAACAAAACCCTTCTGGTATGATAACAGAACACCTTTATAAATAAAATGCCTCAATTCACAAAATTTTGTGAATTCATAAGGTCTGATATTTGATTTTTTACAATTATTTAGGTTATATAAGACTGATAAAATCTCATCCCTAATATATTTCTAATGTGGCAAAATAAAATCGTTACATCCTTCTATCACTAAGGCAGCAAGGGAATAGTCTCGACGTCTAGAACGACCCTTCCAATCCTATATTCCCAAGATAGTGTAAGATTTGGAGTGCTACTGCTAATACCACAAAACGGTTCAGGTCCCACAAAGTGTTTCAGTCCATTTCCTGAGAAGACTGCAATCTGGTTATTCTTTACACCGTCGTATCCCCGGACACAAGTGAGAGTAACTGTATTTTCCTCGCCTAGCTCATTCAATTTTTTCTAGACACCTTCAAACCACTTTTGAGCTGATTACAAGAGCCCAGCGTTTGCTGCTTGTATATCAAACATGATGATAATCTCTTGATTGTGATAGTTTTTATCGGTGTTGAACTGAATACGTTTCTGAATGGCATGAATGTCTGCCTGAAAGATGCAAACTTTCATAGTACCTACTTGGTTTTAAGCCCATACGCTCCATTTCCTTTTGTGGTTTTGAAACTAACCGTATACCACTTAAAGTATTCTTGGCTCTATTTTTTTGCTCTGTGGTTTAACACAAAATTTTGGGAGTGAGGATGACCAGGAACTTGTTGGATACGTTGTGGACAGTAGGAGACTTTTTCATAATTATAATGTATATAAAACATATATAAAAAAAACCTTCAGTTTTTTTTTACTTTGGCCTTCTGCGTTTCACTTTCTTCATATCAAATATTGCATTCTAGATTCAAATTTCAATATATCTTCCACAGTCACCCTCTAATTGTAAATTTCTTTAAATTTTAACTAATTTGTTAACCTTTTTTCAATTTTGTGAATAGTGAGGGTGGCATGATTCCTTAATTCCACACAAGCTAACTTGCTTCTGGAGATCAGATTTGATTTGTAAGGGCTTATCCCACACTCACTATTCCCAATACCAGTTTTTGTCACTTTGTTTGTTTCTTGTAATTTTTAATTTGTTCAAACAATTGTATATATACTATTTTAACTTTTGACTTAAAAGTCTAATTCTGATTTTATAATATATTTTTTTTTAAATCTTTTTAAATTGTAAGTTTACATCCACAATTTTTGTAGATGAGCACTGATGATGGCAAATAAGCCGAAAGCGCTTTGCATTGATTAATAAAAAAGTTTTGCACGAAATACAAGTTTTTCCTTTTTGAATCTAAACTACGTGCACACAGCTGTCAACCTTTTTTGGTTTTTTTAATTAACAAAATTATACTTCTACCTCATTTCATCCTGGGGCATATCCCAAGTTTCTTCTGTCCTGAAGCTAATAGACTTGCATCATTTACTCCATTCATGGTCATTTTATATCTTATTGTCCTTTTTGCCACCTTCTCTACCATTAAATGTAGAAGAATGAGGTTTAAGATCACATCCATTGTGGCCGTAGGACATGTTCTCATTGGCACCGATGATGCAAACACAGGCTAGTGTTTGTACCTTTAAGATATTAGCTGTCGTAGTAGCTAAACTAGTTCTGATACTCCAAGCTACAGTCCCGAAAGTGATGATGATTGGTCTCACGGAGTACTGATATATTAATTTTCAAATAAAAACCTCAACCACAAAATATATCTAATATGTAAATTTTGCTACTCCATTGTGCATCATCCAGGGACATATAGGACCTACTTTTTAACTTGTCAAAAACCTTCTGGCTGAGAGGTGTCTAGAGATGGCTAGCCTCCCAGCCTATCAAAGTCCTGCAGGTTATCAACTCCTTAGAAACTTAACAGGAGGTGTCTAGGGATAGACAGTCTTTCAGGTCTTCTGCAGATTACTAACGGCACCAACAAGGGTCTCTAGATGCCCCTATTTTTTTAAAATTACTATTTAGTGGGCTTCTACCACACACTAATGGAAGGACGATTATGTCCGCCCATTCCACAGGGCACTGCTTTTATTGCTGCTCTTATTCACTACCCAAAATCACCAAACATTTTCCAGTACCTTGACAAAGTAATCACTATGGTCAACCACGATGAATTCAACTGATTACCAAAAATTATGACACAGTTTGAATAGCTTCTTGTACTGATGTGATCAAAAGTTATTAAGTAGGTTGCTCTCAATAATATCCATGCTCTCAAGAAAACCAATTCAGCACCATTGATTAGAATGAGTTCAAAAAGTGAAGGATACAGGAGTCTGCTTATAATATACTTCGAATTCCTAGAGATGCTAGGTTTTATCCAAGATGTTTGTCATATAAAACAAATTGCATATAACTGGATCCAAATAAAACAGTACATTATAAAAGGAAGCAAGCACACTATAAACCATTGTCAAATAATACAAAATACATCTACCAAAACTAAAAGTTTATGGTTTCTGCAGGGAAGAAAATAATTATTCCATTTTTTATCATAAATTCTCTCTTTTTCAATTAACACTATGTATATAAAGATTTTGCACATTACGATAGTATTGACTCGATTTAATAAAATATAAATTTAACATTGGGGTTAGAATCAAATACATAAAATTTGGGCCAACACGAAAACCAAAATGAAGTGCACTGAAGGGGCTAAGTGTTTAGGATGTGGATCAAATCAAGCTGTTGAGTCGATTTTTAGTTTAATAACAAACTAAGGGAAAGTGCATTTTAAAATAAGATATGGCCATTGATTTAAAAAAATATACTATTTGCTAATCAAATTCCAATAGGTAGAGGGTAGAAAACTAAAGAAAAATAGTAGAGACTGTAGGCCACATAATGGCTGATATTTTAATAGTTTTCTCTTTCATATAAATGCTTCTAAATTAAGTAATTAAATAAAACTGTGTTAAACAACAACAGGGTTCGTAAGGCAGTTGTTGAGTCCTGTTGTATACTACTTTGTGTAGCTACATAATTTGATCCTTTGCCTAAACATTTTTCACTCAGTGAAATCCTACAATTTGCCAAAGATATTCAGTTTTCTCAGAATTCTATTAAAATATCAGTGAATAAGGTGCAGTTCAAACCTGAAATTCTTTGGCAAGTTTTATTTTTCCTTAATGCATTCATAGTTTTATATAAATAGTTATAGGTATATTTATCAATAAATTAAATTTGCATTTAATATTGTAATGTATTTCCATTGCTATAGGTATTCTTTTCATAGTTTATAATCAAAAATTACATTTTCAAAGATCTATGATCTATTTTAATATTTTTGCAAATTGCATAATTTAAATAATTGTACTTGCTGGCAAAAACGAAATAAAACTTTATTTTAATGTGTAAACATTACTTTTCCAATGCTGTTAATAAATTTTCAAAAATAATTTTTTGTATGAATAAATATTTAAAAATGTGCTTTTAGACAATGTTAATTTAGCATTTTGAAGATTTAAATATGAAAAATAATACCACAATAGGCCCAATCAGCACCTAATTTAATTCATAATAGAAAAAAAATTATTCACATTCAAAATATACACTTTTGTATCATAAATGTGCTTCAACTTGAGAAAAATTGTAAACTCTCCTAGTTAGTACTAAGAAAAATTAATGATATGTTACAGAGTGAGTTCTTAGATAACGAAAATTGTAAAATATTTGTTATGCTCACAACAGTCTAATTTTCTACGTAGTCAGCTAGTTTTGTACCATAGCATAGTTTTGTAATTGTATATGTGTAAGTAAGGAACTTTACAGTGTTCACAATGTTGTGTACCTACTAGCTTAAAATTAAATATTTTAAAATAAAAATTGTTTCGAAAATTCAAAAAATGTTTATTATTTATCCCAACACCTAAGGAACAAAAATCACAGATTTTATTATTAAGCCTAATACTAGTGAAACCTAAACAAATAAAGAATAATGCTAACTCTTAGACAAAGATAAAGTGCCTTGTAATTCACTCATAGCCAAAAGAGTTAATTTAATATGAACCTTTATATCGACAGCCAATTTTCTATAATGCGTTATTTCTTTTTGTAACAATTTCAACCTTATATCGGCGTATCGATCAGCTTCATCACAGTCCATTTCCAGTAAATATCCCAAGCCAATGTCAATGTAATTTTGCTCAAAGTCTGTAACTTCTCCTTGCACCATAATACCTTGACCAACGTCTACTTTCAGTCTCATATCACGATTTTTTTCTTTGAAACTACGAATTACCTTTGTTGTTTCCTTTACTTCTTCCCAATCTCTATGTTTTTCTGCTTTGCTTTTAAGTATAGTTTCTATTTCTTTCAAATCGTTTTTCAGCTTATTCTCTACAAATGATTCGTATTCTTTCACTTTTTCTTGAACCTCTTGCACATTCATTTTTAACTCTTTCTAATAGCATAAAAGAGGAATAAAAACAATAAAAATAACTTCATTTGCCACCAAAACAGTGAACAAAACAAATTCATAACCAAACTTTTCGGTTAACTGACATCTGACATATGATTGACATTGACGTTTATATTTGACAATAAGGCATTTTTTAGTATTTCAATTGAACTTACCGGACGATGAACTGATTACGTCACCTACTTGAATTCATCTAATTGGTTGAAATTTTCGGGTTCACCCTTTCATTAGTTTAATTAAAAAAAATTAACCACATTTGAGATAATGGATAATATTTTATTCTTTAGAATCATTATGATAGCTTTTATATAAAAGTCTGTATATTATATGTAGTTCAATATCTCTTTTACACAGTCTTTATACGATTTTTCTATCACTTGGTTTAGTATTTTCCTGGTCGAAAGATGGCGGTAGAATGAAAAAAAAACCTTTCTGTTTTTAACAGTGACACGCTAAATATTCCCTAGGAATTGAAATGACAATTGACAGTGACATATCTCCTGGGCATTGACGTTTTGTGACGTAAATGTTCGAGAAGTGAGATTTCACAACAAATGTGAATCATTGAGTGTAAAGTGCTTCATAATGTGATAATTTTTGGTGAACAAATCAAGGTATTCAGCTCTGTTTGCATGTTAAACCAATTATTAGTTTCTTTCTTGGTGTATATTCCAGAAAATACGAAAAAAACCCTGTATAATAGCATTAAAATTGGCAAAAAGTCTTGCCACATTGGCATATGAAAGTGTCATCACCTGATTTTGACAACTCAACTTGATGATGTTAGCATAATGGTGATTTCAAATTTTAGAATGCCCATCCAGGCACCACAGTGGACGGAATTCCTTCTATGTCCGGTATGTTGCAACTCTTATGACGAGAAATTACGCAGCCCTATCAGTCTGGGTTGTGGCCACACAATATGCAGAGGTTGTCTATCAAATCTGCACAGAAAACAGTGCCCCTTTGACCAGACAAACATAAGCATTGACATTGAAAACTTACCAATTAATACAGCACTGCTACAACTCGTTAGTCCAAACATTCGAAATGACAATGACGAAATTGACTGTAAAATCATTCCTAGGGAATACTTAGAAAATTATTTAGATTGTAAGAGAAATGTAGAAGAATTGGCTTTGTATTTGAAGCCCTATCCTAGCGGTAGTGTTTGTGGTAATGGAAGTATATTATCCAGACCTATGCAAAGAAAACTAGTCACTCTAATTAACTGTCAGTTAGTTGAAGATGAAGGCAGAACTAGGGCAATGAGGGCTGCCAGGTCACTCGGGGAAAGAACTGTGACTGAGCTTATTTTGCAACATCAAAATCCTCAGCAGTTATCTGCTAATTTGTGGGCAGCTGTTAGAGCGCGAGGATGTCAGTTTTTAGGACCTGGTGAGTACTGACATGTTTTATATATAATTATAGTTCAAATTAACAAACAATTCAACTATTCTTACAATTTTTCTTGTTTGATTTTTGACTTTCATCAACCAGTTGGAAAGTTATTTATTACCAGACGAGATGACTTACCTTTTTACAATAAATATTGACTCTTTATTGACTTAGATTAGGAGTACCTCAAGGAAATGTATTGGGTCCTTTACTGTTCCTAATCTAAATACATGCAATACTTATCTATAAAGGTGCAAAACTGTAAATAGGTTTGCAGATGTTACAATCATTTTATATAAGCTTGAGTCAATTCAGAGAAAGTTTTTAAAGCTGTTAAGTTTTAGAATCGATGGAATATATCTACCTATCATAATACCACACAATCTTATTATTTTTTTATATAAAGTGCTTCATAATAAAGTAAACTGTCAAGACTTTTTACAAAAACTTATTTAATGTTGCTATAATTTCTTCAAGAAGTAAAAATACCTTCTATCTACCCACTGCACAAACAAATGTGTTAATGTGTGAGCTATGTAATATTCTAGGCAACACGCTAGATATATTTAATTGTTGTATTCCAAATATTAAGTCTTGTTTTTATAAACCAAAATCTGCAGATTAGTATATTTTTCGTTATCCATTATATTACTTTTGGTTACCTACATTAGTATACTATTTTCTGTAAATTTTAGCATATTGTGTTTCATATTATTAGTAGTTTTATTTCCTGTTTAGTAATTAGAATTTATCCTGCTAAACAGTATGTCTAAAATAATAAATAGAAATATACCCTTCGTGATTGGGAAGAATTAAAAAGATTGATAGAATCAGATAGGAGCTTATTAATTGACTGTTTTAATCAAAAAGACTTTATTACAATAAATTTTAACATAGAAGCAACACAAACTACCAAATATTCACATACCATTTTTGTGTAAGCCATTGTAGCCATTTAAAATTGAAAAAAATGTTTGGCAATTGTTTTTTTTTGTGAATAAATTAATGTATTAATACCTATATTATTACTTTTAATGGTAAAGATTGATAGAAATACGAAATTAAAACTATAAAGCTAAAAATACTACATTGTTCATTACCAGATGTTGATATGACTATTACAACATTGCCATAGGCTTGGTATTTAAAATTCTCAGGTAAAATAATATAACAAATGTTCTTATTGGTCCTTGAGATCAATAGCAGGTAGGTACTGATGTATATTTGAAGACTTGAATTAAGAATTAATGAGGTGTGTCTTATTCCAAACTGAATTACAGAGTTTTATTCATTGATATTTAATTGTTTCCTTACAAAAAAATTATTAATGCAAAATAATTGTTTAAAAGCACCAAAGCCTTAGAGATAGCTGCTTTATGTGAATAAACAACCACTTTGGTATTTTTAATAATAAAATTCAACACAATATAATTATTTAAACTGCTACTAGTTATATGCATAACAATTTAAATACTTTTGATAATATCCATCAATCTTTTCCAATAATAATTTAAATTATTTAAATAAGTATTGTTTTTGTTATTACTGGTAAAACCTGAATTGATACGGGAAAATTACTAGAGATTAATTTAAAATTATTCTATTCATGAATATTGTGAAATGTTGTCCAAGTTTATGACACTTTGTTTCACTTTAGTAAGATTATAGTGAAATATATATTTATTCATTCAATTGTAAAATATTTTTTATAGTGCTACTAAAATGCTGTAAAAACAAAACAGATACTTAACTTAAAGAATTGTGTCATGACTTGTTTATTTTAAATTAGCAGCTGGTTAAAACTTTATTATTATAAATTAATTGTAAGTAAAGGAACATCAGATCTAAAAATAATTTAAAATTTCCATACAAAGTAATGTTGTATAATGTTTTCTCAGTAGTTAATGGTTGCTTAATTTAATTAAAATAGTATACTATGTTTGTTTTTTTATTGTAATTAATTTAATTAAAAAATGTTTATCAAAATATTTATTTGGTTTTGTTTTATATGAAGAATTATATATAGAATACTTGTTTAATAAAATGAAACCATTTCTCTTAACTTTTACTTAAAAATCTATTCAAGTTATCTAATATAAGTTTTTTTTATAATTATAATTTAATTAGTGAAAGTTTAATGTAAAACAAGCCTGAATATGAAATTGATGACTATTTAAAATAACCATCTTTTATTGAGAATAATGTTTATATCAATATTAGAAAATTTAAAACTGGTGGAAATATTGTTTACTAACAAGAATTTAGTAGACTCATAATTAATAAAGGATGCATGTGCATTGTATCTACAAAATATTCAGATCAAACTATCTTGTGAACCAAGTTATTTTGATCATTTGTTAATAATAAAAAGAAAACATTCTAGAATTCCTGGTAAAATGTTCTATAATGATGAATGGTATGATAATCCTGATTCGATAGTGAATGCATTTAGTACATTCTTTGAAAGTGTATTCTTTGTCAGAAGATAGTGACGACTTAAATTTGCAATTTAACTATAATCCTAATATCCTATTAAATATTAGTAGTGAATTAATAATGAAAAAAGAAATCCTAGGGTAAAAAATTAATTCTCTTGGGGTTCAGACAAAATTAATCTATAAACTCTTTTTAATCTAGTCTTAAAAGCTTCAGTCTATTCAGATGGATTCATGAATTCTCGTTTAACTATTAGTAATCTGACAGTTTTTAGTCAATATCTTTGTAAATCATTAGATAGTAAAGGACAGGTTGATGCATTGTATACTGATTTCTCTGAGGCCTTCAATAAAATCAGTCACAAGATAATTCTGCAAAACCTTTCTAGTTTAGGTTTTGATATCACTTATGTACAACTTCTTAAATGATATCTAACTAAGAGCAAACAATATGTTTGTTGTAATGAATTTAATTCTAATTACTTTACTTCAACTAGTAAAGTTTCTCAATGGTCCAATTTAGGGCCTATTTTTCTTAATATTTATTAACGACTTATGTGACGTGACTCGCCAGAATGCAATAGGTTAATGTTTGCAGATGACTTAAAATTATATACTATTATCTCTAGTACAGCTGATTGTTTAACATTGCAAAATCAAATTAACCTATTGCATGAATGGTGTCACAGAAATAGCTTCTTTTTAAATCTTTCTAAATGTAAAATTGTGACTTATAGCCACAAACATATTTCTCTGAATTTTCCCTATTCCATTGATAATATTATTTTGGAAAGAACTGACATTATCAACAACTTGGGTGTTCACTTATCAAGTTACTTTTAACTATAGTTTGTTTGAAACTGAATAATAGCAAAATTGTATAAAAATATAGACCTTTGCCATAAAAACTGTGCTATCATTCCTTTTCAAATAAACTATACCCCAATAACTTTATTGTGAATTCAGCGTACCATGGATATGGTTTTATAATTAGGAATTGTAAGAATTTCAATTGTCTGTCTGCATTAACTTCCTCATATTTTAACTTAGAAGAAAATTAGAATATTCTTCAATAATATGGCATCCTATATACATTCATTATTCAGACATTATTGAAAAAATTCAAAATAAATTCTAAAATTTTAAAGTAAATAGATTTTATCTTCCAAGAGGTTGTAACTACCTAGATTGCTACACCAATTTGATTTTGTAACATGTAGAAATCAGGCATCTGCTTTGTTTTTGAATAAATTGTTAAATGGTGAAATTGACTGCACTTTGTTGCTCTCTCAAATAATTTTTTTTTTGTACCAAGGATAACATCTAGACATAATATTACATTTCTAAGTAAACGAGCTCAAAATAATTTGTCGTTAAAAGCGCTAATTACCTTAATGTGTAGTAATGCAAACAAACTATCAGATATTTATGATATTTTCTGTTGTAGTGTAAGTGAATTAAAAAAAAAAAAAAAAAAAATCAAGAGCTTATCTTTGAATTCATATTAATTTTCTACTTTTATTATAATTTTTTATTTTCTTAGTTAAATATTGTAAAATTTGCTTTGTAAATGGGAAACTGTTGGGCATATATTATTTATTATTATCACCATTACTTAAGGGTACTTTACTTATTTTTCCTTAAATTATTTATTAAATACCCTATATATCTATGTGTTGGCAGGTGTTATGACTGAATATTCTGACCTACCTATATACACATTTCATCAACTTGTTCTACATGTCCATTATCCATCATAACCACAGTATCATAGTTTTATTTTGCAATATTAAGATATATTTAGATAATTATCTCAAAATCTTACAGTAGACTCAAAAATCCACACTATTAGAACAGTTTCTAAGACTGTTTTTAGGTTTCAAGTTACAACAGGAAATTGTTTTTCTTATTTTAAAATAATAATTGTACTCTTTATTAATTACTTTCTATTGAAGAAAATTTACATTAAGAGCTTATTTGTAGCTATGCAAGAAGAGGTGCTCAAACTAGTACTTTTAGCACTAGAAGATGGTTCAGCCTTGTCCAGAAAAGTACTAGTGATGTTTGTGGTCCAAAGGCTTGAGCCACATTTTCCTCAAGCTTCAAAAACTAGTATTGGTCACGTTGTTCAGTTATTATATAGGGCGTCGTGTTTTAAGGTAAGCTATTATTGTTTTTAAACAATATAAAAATATGTATAATGATATTTTTTAAAATCTGAATAGTTTCATGCATAGGTAATTGTTTTGTCTGTAATTTTTTTATAAATTGACTGTTGGAATATGTTTATGGAAAATTTAGCAGTCTATTAAGTCATCATTTATGTAAAAGTCAGTTACTTTATTTTTAGATATCCTTCACAAATACAAATCATTAATAAATATATCAGTACCTACTTTTAATTGCCAAAAAACTGTTCTGGCGAACTTTCATTGATTTAATCATATTTTATCGCCAGAAAATAAATATATAATGCTTTCTGTGATTATTTCAACAACAATTATTAGTTTATTTATTATATTTTGAGCTTATAAAATGGATTTAAATATTTTTTAAGAAACTTGTGTGTAGCAAACTTGTTTTTATAATAAATAAACTAATTAAAACTTGTTTAACTTAATCAAGGATGTTTGCCTGTAAAAAATAGTTAAAAAAGCAAGGACTACGAATTATTTACTTATTATTTTAAATTGTTTTATAAAATAAAGTTTTTTTTATTCAAAATCTTATTTTTATTATGTAATAAATATTATTTTTTGCATATTTTAAAATGGAATTAGTACGAAACATTATGTAATAATTTCAATCCTTGAATTTACAAAAAATATTTTACAAATCAAAAATGTATAAAAATCTGTAACAGCTTTAAAAACTGAGCGTCTAGATCACTTTAAAATACAAGGTAAATTGGCTGAACAGATACAGTAAAGTGTCCAGCTGGATGGCCAGATTTAACTCCGTTAAAATTCTTTCTATAGGCTTATTTGAATACTGCCAATCCTGATATCTGAGTTTATTTTATATAGTATATTCTGAATGAACACTATATAACATCACATATAATATAGACAAAAGGTTATATAAATTTCTCAGTTTTCTACCATTTTGGATATATAGTAAATAAATTAAATTTGCTCAAAATGAGCTCAGATATTAAAAATATTACTACTTTTTCATGGTGACAATTTATTCCACTTTGCCACAATTTTAAATACAATAATAGATATATTCTATATTTTTGATAATAAATTATAAACACCTGATAATTTAACTCTATTAAAATAGCTGATAACTATTGTTTTTGTCAATATCCATTGAGAAATTCTTAAAATAATTTCAATAACCGTCATTTCAAAAATATCTGAGTTTGATAATGACAACAAATTTCAGATTCTTTAGGAGTTGCTATTTTTAGATAATCGGGGTACCTTGTTAGATTTTTAACTTTACCATATAGTTTTAATCCAAAATATTAAAGGAACATATTTGAGCTGAATTGAAAAAAATATAATTCCATGGGTTCTCTGGTTTTACACAGACCTCACAATAGCAACATATTTCGGTACTACATGTTTGGAGTGTGCTCAAATAAAGGCAACCCTAGATATTTTTAAAGAAAACACTGTCAGATTTTATTTGACATCAATGCCGTTAAGATAAAAGCATAAATTACAAAATTAAACGTGCGTTTTTGCACGATTTGCTTCTATTTTAACGCCTTTTGCGTCAAACGAAAGCTGAGAGCCTCATATTTAACAATAACTAGGGTTACCTTTCTTACATTTCCTCTAAAATTGACATTTGCTTGAAATCAGAGTGATGTATCACTTTACACAATTCTACCTTTGAGTTTTTCGAGAACCACAAGGATCCCATCTTGGCCCACTCCAATTTTCTTATTCAAAATAAAAAATGATATCATATCAAACAGGTATCGAAAAGAGAAGGCGACTCATCTCTTATGCAACTGAAAGAAGAATTTCGTACGTACGACGCTTTAAGGAGAGAACATGATGCACAAATTGTTCAAATAGCTACGGAGGCCGGACTAAGGATAGCTCCGGATCAATGGTCTGCCTTGCTTTATGGAGACACGGCTCATAAATCCCATATGCAGAGCATAATTGATAAACTCCAGACGCCTCAGTCGTTTGCTCAGTCTGTGCAGGAACTTGTTATAGCTTTGCAGAGGACCGGGGATCCCGGGAAGTTGTCTGTTTTGAGGAACCACTTGGATTTGCTGGCTGCTATAGATCCTAGTCCAGGTAAGTCGTCTATCAAACAGTATTTTAGTTATTTTGTCTTCTTTCCTATATCCTGGCACTCATATGAGTGATATATTGTGTGTTGACAGTGTTTTCCGGGTTTGTAGACAGTTATATACGAATTTAGAGTTTATTTGGTATAATTTTAAAAATATTTACCATAAAAATTATCAGTATAATTAGTTTTGGGTAACAGTCAAATCATCGCGGGCATTCACCGATAATGAAACGATTATATTTTTAATGAATGATAATTTTATTATCTGATTTTTTGACCTTGAATGCTTTGTTGTACGTTAAAGTAGTTGCAAAACAGGTGATTTTGATAAAATAAATAACTGACCAGAATCTAATCTTGAAAGGAAATTTGCTACAGACTAAAAATATTTGATGAATCCTTCACAATGTAACAAACTTGGAATAACGTATGGGTTTTTATATTAATCATTTCTATCTAAATTTATCAATTTAAATTTATTCTAGACTCTATTATTATATTGTTTAATGATATCTGTCCTTGTATAAATTCGAATAAACATTTGCTGGTAATATGAAAATTACGTGGATTTTGAGAAATATAAATACTTTTAACATTACTTTTTCAAATAATTTGTGATTAACAATTTATACCTTAAAATAAATGATTTATAATGACCAGTAACTTTAATTGATTTACTTTTCAAACAAGGTTATTTGATCGACTTTTTCCACAAATTCGTTTGATTTGGTTCTTTTTTATTGTCTGATAAAACCTGTTGTGTCTGTTTAAAGTTCAATTACAATTGTAAACGGTATTCTTGAGGTACCAAGTCTAATTTAATTATTGTAATTGTACAGTATTGTCCGCTTTTGTCCAAAGGTTATCGGCAATAATTATAAATGTATAAATTGATAATTTACAACATATTTGGTGCTGTTTTATTTAATTACCCATGAGCTTCGTATTTTTTGTTAATGATGAATTCAAATTTAAATTTGATCCCATTACAGAAGTGGACACAGCAAATTTTATATACGGATTAAAAAGAAAGCCAACGGTTTAGATGGTATCAATATAAATTTTAAATTTTTTTGTACTATAGAACACATAAGAAATTTTTGTTTAATGAACTAAAGTTGGAAAAATGTTTTTTCTTAGTCCTATACGTCCTATAAGTGATAGAAAAACCTATTTAGTTTAAATTAGAAACATTTAAATAATTGCTGGTTAATTTTACAAGAGCAGTCAGGGTTTAGAGCAGATTATAGTTGCGGTATTGCTCTATTAGATATTAGAGCCATTTGAACAAACTTACAAAAAAATAACAGGTGCAGTAAAACGTTCAATATGCTGAACCATGATTTATTTGCTACAAGTACATTGTACTTTTTTAAAATCATTGTAAAAACCATAGCCAGCAAGTACTCTTTTGAGGTGAAATATCTACTAATAGAAGAGTACCGCAAAGATCAATCTTTGACCCGGTACTGTATACTTTGTATGTTAGTAATATTTTTTACAGCCTGAATCCCATTAAAATACATAGATTGTGATTATTGAAGAACAACTGATAAATACTGATCCAGCTGTTCTCTTATTGAAGTGTTTCAGAATCGTGATTTGGTAATTATTGCAGCAAAATCACATATGATTCTCTTTGGTGTTATTACCGCTAATTATCTGGTGATTAAAATGTGTAATAATAATTTAAATGCTGTCGAAAATATAGGTTGTAATTTTCGATTTAAAATAAGAATTTATAGAATTGTTTTTTTTTTGTATATTACAAAAATGGTAATCTTAATTTTTTTTTTTTATCCAAAGTAGTATTGTTATGAATACGTCACGACCCTTGGTTAACCTTACTTGATAGCAGTCGATTGCAAAAACTCGTATCTTATATTTATTTTTGGTATAAGAAAATTGACACTTTCAAAATCGTTGATTATCCATGACCAATTGAAAAAAATGTGTACTCGTTAACTCTCTTTCATATAATTGCAATTAAAAGCATACCCATACTTTTTAAATAATTTTAAGTGAGGGGATTTTGTGTTTTTTTTTTTATTACTTTTTAACGTTTTTACACATACTTTTTTTTTCAATTTTTTTTGTTTTACACATTATTTAGAAATTTAAGCTGGAACTGGCAACGTTAAAGTAACTCATTTTTTCGCTATTTATTCCAAAAACGACTGTTCAGTATCATTTAAAAAAATATCCACCTTTAAATTTCAATATTTCAAAAACCAATCACTTTAGGAGTTCCCAACAAGAATACATGATTTATTTAAAAAACACCAAAAAATGTAAAAGTTATTCCAAATAAGTTGTTTGGACAATGGCGTAAAATTTAGAGGTTATTAAAATGTTACTTATCCATATCGTACGCCACTGGAAAAATTTTGTAAAATTATATTGAGAAATAAAAAAAAAACAGCCATTAATAATATTTGAATTTTCAACTTTAACATGTATTTAAGAAACCAGTAATGTTTAATCGCCTTATTTTTAATTAGAAAATCGTCCCATATTTTTAAATTGCCTTTTTTTGTATTAAAAAATTACCCCTTTTTTAAAATAAATTTTTTATTTTTAATTACATGGTTTTTTGGATTATTTACACTATTTTTATTTAAAAAAATTTTTGGTAATAAGTGTTCCCAATTTAAATTACCCCATTTGTCCCATTAGTTACCCCATTTTTTGGAAAAATTTCCCAAATATTTTTTGAAAAATTGTTTTAAAAAAAATTACCTTGTTTTTGTGTCAATAATTACATTGTTTTTATTTGAATAGTTACCCCAATTTTTTGTAAAAATGTCCTAAATATTTTTTTTGGAAAATATTTCTTTTTTAGTTTAACATTATCCTTTTTTTTAATCACCCCCTTTTTGTAGAATTGTCCCAAGATTCCAAAAAATACCCCTTTTCCGAAGCTATTCCATTTTCACTTTTCCAAAATTATCCAACTTTTTTTCACAGAATCTCCACCTCCGACGTGGAGTGCATGCTCTGAATGTTTGGAAGCAGTACGACAAGTCGTGGCCGGGTTGGTGGAATTCATTCATCAACACGGTAGTCGAAAATTGCAAGATACCGCCCATTCTCAACATACGAAATACAAAATCAGCATGTGTCGCGATCTGACTCTAAGGGGCAGTTGTCCCAGAGGGACCAACTGCACTTTTGCGCACTCCAATGAGGAGTTGGAAAAGTATAGAGCAAAGGTGAGTAAAATTATCTTTGTAGGTGTAATAAACAGAATTTAAGGATATGTTGTATGTATGTTTAACTAACTTATTGAATATTAAAATTAATAATTTCTCTGTTGATTTATGTCGGAAATTTTTCAATTTTCCTTCGAGTAAGGTTTTCCACACATTTTCCGTAGTGACGCAACTTTTTCGGAAAATTTCCTTTGGTTTTGTGAAAATCGAAGAACAAATTGTTTTATCGAATTTTATAACCTTTCAAACAAATTTTCCGGAAAAAAATATACTAGCCGACATTCTTGACAATTGTCCCGATACGTCAAACACATTTCCCAGGAAAATTAGGAAATAATTTGGGTCGAATGCTTTTCTGGTAAAACTTTGATATTGAAAAATTTGCAATTTTCCTACGAATTTCTGGCGGAACTAATATTTCCTTCCGGAAAGTGGTTTTCCGACGGGACCTACTTTTTTTGTTGCTTAACCCGTCCGTCACCGAAAAAAAAAATTGGCTTATATTACCGGATATTACTGACAATCTGGCGTCGAAATTTTCACAACACATTTCCCAGGAAAATTCTGGATTACTAAAAATTAAATTTTAATTCTAAAATAATTATTAAACAATTTTTTTGTTAATAAATGGTTAGTCTCTATGAAAATCAAGTGATCACACAATTGTGCGACTTGACTTATTACGATTATTTCAGAACCGCAAAAGTATTACCAGAAACAAGGAGCACCGTATCGAAAACCAATCACCGACAGAAAAACCCTTTAATAATCAAACTGACGATTACTATCCCATATCTAACGCGTCAACTATCAGTCCGGTATCGCTCCCAGGCGTAGTTCAAATGCCGAGAATGGGCTACGACGTGCCGTTCCATCCAAATCCCACTTATCCCACCACTCAACCCTTTACGCAACCGGTGTACCCACCCCAACCGCCATCAAATTTTTCCGTTCACGAAATGTACCCGAACAATCCTAATATTATGATGACCAATGGAGGGCAGTTTTATCAGCCGCAGCAGGGGGATTACCAGCAAGTCGGTGGTCAGCCTCATCAAGGTGTTGACGTGAAGAGAGGGTGGGATGTTGTGGTAAGAGACATTAAAACGAATTTGAAAACAAGATCTACTTCTCTTATTTCTACAGATGTCGCAACTGGCTAAAAACCAAAGCTTCCAACAGCAAAAAATGAACCGTAGCTCGACCAAAAGCCTCGCCGAATTGCACCAGCGCAAGCAGGAAGTCATCTCTCAGCTAGAAAAGGTGGTGGGAAAGAACGCCGCGACTGAAATCTCCAACAACGCCAGCTCGCTGGCCAGACAAGAGTCGCAGCACGACATGGAGAGTCCCACGTCGCCGTACAACTTCTTTTCAGGGCATATCACGTCCGGACCCACGTTCGTGAGATCGGACTCCATTTTGGCGGCCGATGACGATTACGTGCCGTACGATTCGCCCGCTATCAGCAAATACGGGCCGATTTCTAGGATGCACAAGGATAATGGGATCAATCAGAGTGGACAGTTTAGGGATAGCCAGGCATTGGTGAGTTTCATTTCTTATACTGATGTTTCGCTTACCACGTTTATCTTGAACGTTCGTTTTGTCAATACAATTTGGATTATCGCGGTCCAACTTTTTATATAATTTAAAAATTGTAAAGATCGAAAAGGTTCATTCAATTTCATTTTTTTTTACAATTTACATTTTCATTTTACTATGAGGGTATTTACACTTCAATGTACAAATCTAAAATTAACAGTGCGAGTAAAATATATATTAAAAGCGATAATACTCCGTCCCTACTAAACTATTTGAAGAATTTAAGACATGAGATGGAGGTTTGAAAGAAAAATGGAGAATATCTTACCATTAAGTATATTAAAGGAGTACCTGAAATTGTTGCAATGGTCCCTGAAAATTAAAATAAAAAAAGGACTAGAGATTAGAACAGCCCAACCAACACAACTAAGGAACCTACAAGATCTTCAAACAGATGAATGCTTCTTCTGTAAATAATACTGGTGCATCGCAGAGCAACTAATAGCAACCATTACACATTTTCTTCTGGAACTGTCAAGGTTATGCAAATATTAGTGAATTTATTTCTATCACAAACTTGTTTTATGTTGATATACTCGTGTCTATCTGAGACATGGCTTGTTTCTGAAGTAAAAACTTGTTCCCATTTTTTAAACACATTTAATGTAATTACTGTTAATGCCATCAAAGAAAAATCTGCTGGTAGAGCTAGTGGTGGTTTGTGCATTTATTTATAGTAAAGATTTTATATGTTAGGTACTAGATAATTCCCCTTGGTGGCTAATCTGTCTAATGAAATCTCAATTTAATAGCCTTATTGTATGTAGCGTTTATTTTAAACCATCTTTAAATATTTCCTCATTATTGGAAATATTTTAAATTACTTTAAATGAAATAATGTGCTCTTTTCCTGACTCTATAATCATAATTGTAGGATTGGTAATTTAGGACATTTACCTTTGGAACTTATAGAAAATACTAATTTATTTATATTTTATATTTATTTGATAAGGTTATTAATTCGAGAGGAAAACCTATGGTTGAATTTATGTACTCTAATTTTGGGCTGTAGTGTGATAGATCTGGTATTGGATAAATAATTTATACTTGCAATTTGTGGATAATTTTTTCGTATATAATAATGAACTAACTTCCGATCATTTTCTTGTTTGTCTAAAATTAAATTTTGAAAATTGCAGATCATTAACTAATAGAACAACTAATACAAATATACAGAGAAAATTATGTTGGAATAACAATCTTGCTTTATCCTTTAAACCTATTATGCGTGATTCAAATAGGGTACATTTTATTGAAAATAGAGATGAATAACAATTTTTATGTAGCTATACATGAGTCTGCAGATAACTTAAACTTAGTAAAGACTATTCCTTCTAAAACTGTCAGAAAAATGGGTCTAAGCAAACCTTGCCTTGATGATGCTTGTTATAACGCAAAAAAAACAATTAAATTTAGCTCTTTCACATTGTCGAAACAACAACTCTCCCAAGATACTCTAAATGAATACGCTGATATGAAAAAGGAATATAAACAAATAATCAAATTTAAGCATCGTAAATTTGAGGCAGAAATGATCTCTACATTATCAAGTTGCAGAAATCCCAAACAATTTCGTTCATTTAGAAATATTCACCCAAATCTCACCATAGAAATGTGGAAACGTTTTTATAATAATATTTATCCTCCTAGAATTTTAGACTCAAAAAAATCTACTGTCACTTTAATTGCCAGTGGAACCATAATTACATTATCACTGAACTAGCGTATTGAAACCAAACATATTTTTAAAACAGTGCCTAAAGTATAATTTATAACCACCGTAACGTAACTTAACGCCGTAGAAACTTAACGTAAGATTAAAAATAAAGTATTTATAAATGTCCGTAACGTAAGAGTTGGGCATGCGTGTTGTATTTCAGAGATTATCAATCTTATGAAATAAACAAGTGTAAACTATGTACCTAACCTCCAAATAAAACTTATAAATTATGATTTTGCTATATAGAAAGAATATATTAACTAATTTAAAAGCAATAATATAAAAATATAATAAAACAGAATAGTTTACCGAAGATGTTGATTGTTTTTGAGCAATAATGAGAATTTAATCTTACCTAGCAAACTAGTTTTATGTTTTATTTCAGTTTAAAAAAAATAAAAAGAATAATTGACAGTTATCACATGCTGAACTCAGAATTATCTCATTGGTTGACCGTAAGGTCTTAAGTTGTTAAGTTAAAAGTTGGCGACCTTTCTACGGTACGTTAAGTTCTTACGTTACGAACATTTATAAATAAGTATACATAAATTCAATATTTCAACTTATTACGTTAAATTCTTAAGTTACGTTACGTATCAGAGATAAATGAGTATTTACCTAATTTTCTTCCATTTAAGACCAAACAAATTTGAAATTTTGTGCCTAACAGGATACAGAGAAAATTTTTACTTTAGGAACATATCTCAAACTTTCTTTTTGAGAATAACCTGATTTTCCCATGACTATTTTTGGACAACCATTTAAATCTAGAAATCAAAAACTACTATTTCGACAACTCACATAATTGTATCTATAAAATGCCATCGAAAATCTAAACTAAGCGATTTTAACACTCCGCTGCTTAACAATATTTACATGACAACTAGAACAGCAGATACCTCTGTGTGTATATACTTGGCAACAACGTATATTGTTCCGTTTCTGTAATATCTATATCAAATGTTGCCCTCTTTTGCTTCACGTACCAACTCTAATTAGCAATATTATTTGTAGTTACAGAAAACTATAATGTTTAGCGCTAGTTTTCGATAATTTTTGTGCTATCGTAACTCCATCTTACGTTAGCGAAACGTAACTTTTGTAGGGTAATATAAATCTTAATCGTCACACTTCACGCATCATAGGCAGAAATTATATTATTGATTATTTCACTACAGACAAAAAGACAGGGTCAGTCTAAGAAGTATTGAAAGTATTATCGGATGTGTACCACTTTTAAATATAACAAAGAAACTAATATAACGTTACAATTTCTTTCACAGAGTTTAAGATGAAACTTCTTTTTTTTTAATATAGCTTTTTTTTATTCTTTTCCTCTACTTCAATTTGCTTTCCCATTTCCCATAGATACGTCGACCAGTCACTTCAGCAAGTCCGGTTGCTTCATGGTACGTCAACAACAACAGTCACTACCATCAAGCTCCCGTACAGACAGGCCACCCCATGGTGGGACACCCAGGAGGTGAAGGATATGTACCTTACTGTAAGCCTCATTTCTTCGGTTGTGGATCTTATAAATAATTCTTTACGTTTTTTTTTTAGCCTCTCAGTTTTTGTTTCATCCGAGACTACAAGATCCGTCCAAGGAATTGTTGGCGGAATCGCAACGGGTGAAACTTCAAATTCGAAATTTGGAAAAGCAGCTCAACGATTTGAAAATCGCCACCCAAGGCGTTACGAATTTGACCGAGAGCGAAAGACTGACGCAGGAGTTGCAGTTGTTGGAGCAGGGCATACAGGAGAAACAGAAGGAAGCTTGTCTGGTAAGCGTCAATTACAAAAAATGTGAATTTTTCGATGAATGTTTATTTGATTATGAATTTTCAGAAATTTTTTTTTTATTTCATTTTGTTTTTTTTTATTTTTATTTTTAACTTGAAATACATGGACATGTGGGTTTTTCAATTTCTCTTCCCCATTTTTTCATTTTGAGGTTCACGAATAAATTTCTAAATTTAAATGGAAAACTTTTTAAAATTCCACTTGCCGGATCTTGCGGATTTTTTTTTTTTTAATTTCAATTCACTTTTTATTTTTGTTTTCTTTATTTTTTTTTTAACTTCAAATACCAGATGAACATGCCGATTTTTTTCAATTTGTTTTTCAATTTTTCCTTTTTGATATTTTACTTTGGGGCTGGTGAATAAATTTCTAAAGTAAAAACTTGCTAAATGAAAAACTTTTAAAAATTCTACATGCCTGAGCTTGCGAATATTTTTTTTTTTTTTCATTTAACTTTTTAGTTTTTTATTTTTCAAACTAACATTCAGGATTCTGAATTTATCAATTTATTTTACTTTCTTAAATTCCCATGCTATTTGGCTATGTGGCTATCGTTAATGAACGACGATTTTACAACCATATTTGTCTATTTTCAACGACAATCGTTGTCTACTGAACAAGAAAAGTCGTCTGTCAACGATTATCGTCTATTAACGACGTCGTTCAGAGTTACTGAATAGTCCCCTAGTGGCTTAAAAAAAATCCATTGGATTTATGGTATCCATAAAATTGTAATAATCAAGTTCCATAATGAATTTAATCTTTGTGGTATTAATTTTTTTCACATAATTTAAGTAATGTTGACCATAAGACTTCCATTCATGACTGAGGAAACCCCGAGCTTGTTGTATATACTTTTCAACGATTTTGCGATAAATTTGTCTTGGAATAATAATATTTCTGTCGTTTCAACGTATTTTTTCCTTGCTTTGACAGTCAAAAATCGTTCAATCACTAGCAATGGGAAACTACAGCAATGGGAATCCACCGGGAACTTCAGACGATGCAATGTATGATGCTAGTATTGCTAATGACATGCGCGAACTCGAGCTCAGGTTGCAAGAAGAGTTAGAGGAATGGAGCGGCGAGGATTCGCCGAAATAATTCTTTATTAATTATATTAATTATTTTCGAGAGTATGGCGGGCTTTAAAATAGATGTCCGATTATTTGATTTGATTTATCATAGAATTATTGTATTAAAATATTATTTTTGATAAAAAAATATTCTACCTAATGGTCTTTTTCTAAAAAAAAAACACTGTGTCATTTACCGACCAAATTGGTGTGTGATCTATTTTAAAGTGCCGTTTTTACTAGTTTTCGGTAAAGTTTACTCTCAAAATTTCAAGACGGTGATTCTATATAGTGGGAGCAAACTTTTTGTGTTTGTAATCATTTTTTACGTGTTATTCGCTTAGGTCTTTATTTGGTTTTTCACCTTGGTTATATATTTTTATTATGGTGGTAGGTCTGTCAGTTTGTCTGTCAAAATGCTTTTGACCGCAGCCGTTTAAAATATCCTTACAAAAATTCGTTTCTTTACCACCCTGACATTCATGAAAAACCAGTTAGTAGAATATGAGATACTTTCTTTAATTTTTCCTCGGATCTGGGGAAATTTGGAGAGTATGTCTGGCAATACCGCGTCGCATGAATTAATGGTAATGCTTCATAATTTCCCAGTTTTCTGGGGAAATTTTGAGAATACTTATCAATGATTCATGCGATGCAGTGTTTCCAAATATACTCCACAAATTTCTCCAGATCTTGGGAAAAATCAATGAAGGTGTGCTGAAATATCCCATCTACTCCGCTTCAATAAGATTTGTTTTTGCCTGAATAATGATGACCCAAACATCAATGTACTATCTGGTATATTTTTACGGTTATCATTAAGTAAAATGTCAATCTGTCACATATGTTTGTGGTCAAAATTTAAAAGGGCGTTCTATAATTTGTTTTAGTTAACTTAGTAAACACAAAAATCCTGAAAAAATTAATATTTTTGAAACAAGGTTACTGAAAATTAGTGACATTTGACGGAACCGGAACAACTGTTGATTTTTGTTTGTTGTTCCCGTTTTTATTGACGTAATAGCTATTGTCTTTGACGTGTAAACATTCGTGTTTCGTAATTAACTTCTAACAACTATCCAATTCTAAAAAAAGAACGGTTCACGTTATTTTATATGGGTTTTTTGGCTCTATCACGAAATGGCGCCTTTTGAAATAGCGCCTGTCAAAATAGCTCTTATTAAAATAGTGTCAATCAAAACGCCGACCAAAAACAAAAACAGCGTTTATTAAAATAGCATCAATCAAAACAGCGCCTGCACGAAATAGCGCTTATTAAAATAGAGTCATTCAAAAAAACGCCCAAACAAAACGAAGGCTAAACGAAAAAGCGCTTATTAAAATAGCGGCAGCCAAAACAGCGCTTATTAAAATAGCATCAATCAAAACAGTGCAAGAACAAAACAGCGCCTGCACGAAATATGCCTATTAAAATAGCGTCAATCAAGAAAGCGCCCGAACAAAACCACGCCGAAACGAAATTACGCTTATTAAAATAGCGTCAGTCAAAACAGCGCTTATTACAACAGCGTCAGTCAAAACAACGCCTCAACGAAATAGCGCTTATTAAAATAGTGCCAGAATAAAACAGCGCCTTATTGAAAAGGCCTTTATTAAAACAGCGTGTATCGAATAAGAGGCTGAATGAACTAGAGCCTGATGTAATTGCGCTATTTTATTTAGGCGCTCTGTCGTTTTAACTAACGCTATTTTAATAAACGCTATTTAGATTAATCAGTGTTTTGAACTACGCTATTTTAATAAGCGCTGTTTTTACTGCCGCTATTTTAATAAGCGTTATTTAGTTCAGGCGCCCATTTTTTCGGTCATTGTTCTGACTGACGCTATTTTAATAAGCGTTATTTCGTTTAGGCGCCCTTTTGTCTGACGCTATTTTAATAAGCACTAGTTTGAGTTTGGGTACTATTTCTATACACGCCATTTTGATTTGTCGCTCAAAAATAGCGCTATTTTGACATGCGCTATTTTGTGACAGTCGTCGTTTTATATACCCGTTTTTTGGGGATCGCTGTCAGTAAATAATAGTTTTATTGCGGTTAGTAGTCGGTTAATATCGGTATACATTTGTGATACAAGTCAAGTTTTTGTAAGGATAAATCAAGTCGGCTGTGGTTTTGACGGTGGAAATGACATAACTAACCTCACAATTTAATCTAGATCGCATTGACGATCTCTATATCTTCTTATTTGTGATATTTTTATATTTTTGTTAGTTGACTATATATATTAAATCTGTTGTTTTTTTTTTTCAATATCATTTTTGTCGCGATTTTATACAAAATATATTCGTAGTTTCCACGATGTCGTAAACGATTAATGACATTATTTATAAAAAAAAAAATTGACCAAATCTAATCTGCGGTATAATCCAATAATTTTTAGAACAATTTTAATGTTGATTTTAAAGTGGATTTACCGAATATATTTTTGTTATCTCTATTGTAAAGTACAAATTTCATAGTTTTTAGCCATTATATACAGGGTGAATCCTAAGTTGATACTTTTTTAACTATATAGAAGTCATTAATATAAATAACTTTTTCAAAGAAAAATCAAAAATAAAAACACATTAATTTATTCCAAAATCTATCCAATAGTCGTCATAAATAAGTAATATATCCACAAGTTCATTATCATAATTTACTATACTAAACAATTTAAATTCACTACTTCAGATAAACACGTGAATGAATTATAATAACCGGTACACTCTAAAGTGTGATGTATAAGAAAAGCCGAAAAAGGGGTAACAATGATAAAAACAAATACTATTTTAAATGTCCGGATTTATATTTTTAAATTCTGTATCTTATTTTTGAGTTTTTTGAAAAGTTGTTTTATTTTTAACGACTATGCACGGTTTCCAAAAAAATCAACTTAGAATTTGCCCCTGTGTATGCAGATTTGTTCGCGATATCGTGGAAACGTTATCCAATCTACAAGAAGTTATATCTAAAGATGTCATAGCTTTTAAGAAGACACTAACAGGCTGTAAGTTATATACTGAAAGATGTTAATATTTTGGCAAGTTTTGCATGCTTAATATTTAAAAAACAGACTGCTAAAACTTACTGAGAGGTTCTATTTTCGTGAAAATATTAATTTTCAAACTCACTTTTATAATAAACCTGATCAATCTGTTTGTACTATGTACCTTTACATCAATATTCTCGTTTTTTAAGGATTGTACCAATCAATTTTTTTCGAAAATAGAGCGTCGTTTCAAAAAGAATGTGCATAAAATGCATTGTGTGCAATAATTTAAAAGAAAAAACGTTGATGACGGTTTTTGTCATTCAAAATGAAACTTATATATTGTATAAATAAAAGAAAGTTAACCTTTGTCATTTCAAAAATGATACAAAAATACTTTTATGAAATGGTCTTCGGACAGTCTTATTCACATTAAATACAAAATACGATGATGCATTTCAATTTTAATGAATTCAAGACAGCGGTTATTCCAGTTTTAGTGGAAAACGGGATTCTCATTGATCTAAATAAATCGCACAAACAATTCAAGGACTTAATAACTTTGCTCCACCAAATAAAATCACTTATAATTGTTTATTAACTATTTATTCGATAAAATGACAGCTATCATTGTCAGTTGTCGACAGTTGGCACTTAATAACTGTCATTGTTCGACAGCGGACGTGTAGTGTAATTTGTTGACAGTTGACATTCGATTACTGTCGTTTACTTTGGCCTATGGGAGAGCTGCCTAAACTGTGAAGGATATTTCTGTGGTTGGTGGTGCGATCGTTGTGGATCGATGAGGATTCCGGCAATAAGGTTGGCGAAATGTCATCTATTTTTAATCATACTGTGTGTGGTTGGTATATCAATGTTATGAGTTGATATAAATATATTTTATTTATGTGTGCATTTGTTTGAAAATGCAACAAGACTAAAAAAGAAATTATATATGCTTGTGAAGTAAATATTTTAGTCATTTATTTATTTAAGCTTATGATATATATTTAAAACAATTATTAGAACGATTGTATTATAAAATAATAATAATAAAAGAATATTTGTAATATTACAAAAATTTGTAGATGTGCGCTTATTTGCTGCAACTTAAATTTTTGTAACGTTATTTATTGTATACTTAGTGTTTATGTCCGAGGGGTCTTGTCAAACTCAGCCATTTCGGCACTTACCCCCCATCCCCACAAATACCATTAAATAGTTTTATTTACAAAAAAAAATCCTTGCAAAAATTTATTTCTGTTCAAAATAACTATTGAACTGTTATAAAAATTAATTAGGAGATTTTAAAAATAATTATATTTTTGATAAAGAAAACAAATGAAATGTATTTTTGCAAGGAGTTTGAAAGGTTCAAGAGATGATAAAGTTTGAGATTTAATTCGAGGTCGATTGAACGTACAGGGTGGATCAAAATTGTTAATTTTACTCCGTTAAAGTAACTAATTCGACTTTAAATTTAGGATTAAGATTAATCTTTGTTCAAACAACGTTGTTTGATTGTTTATTTAGTAACCGAGTGCAATATTAAATAAAAACCAGATAATTCAAAAGTAGAATATACAGTATGATCCAAATGTATCGAATACATTTATTATTTCACGACTTGAAGGGCCATTTAATGATACGACATAAGAGACGTTACAAGACATCACTAGTGAGACATCTCATTTGAAAGGTCTAGTCGTCAATTTAATATCTATAATTATTTTAATATTTATTTCTACAGGGTACCAAAATGATGTATTTAGGAAAATACAACAAAATTATAATAAAAGATGATTTTTAGCAATGATGCAATAACAAACCCGGTAGGAAATTATTCTCTTAACGTTTTCGGTATTTTAGTTCTGATGCGCTCTTGCAACTCTTCTAGATTATTTAATTGACTTTTATCTTCAAATATCTCTATAAAAAAGTCTAATGGAGTCATTGCAAGGTGGTACGATGGTACTTCCGGCTGGCATTTTGTAAATTATTGACGGGGCCATCAGGAAGTATCATCTGCAAGGATTTAATTTAATCCCCTGTGGACGAGATGTCGAACAACTCAAAGTTGTAAAAAATATCGGCTGAGAATCGATTGTACCTCCGGCTGAAAATTTACATATCACCTGTTTGAAGGTCACAGATGAGGTAGGCACATTGTCGCATGGCTAGGCCACTGCTATGGGTCTGTCAGGCGCCCTCAAATTTGAAATTTTTTGTTAAAATTTACAATACACAAATTATTTGATAAACTCACTTGATAGCTCAGTTTGTTAAGCATTCAACATGCAGTCAAATTTGCATTTTGCGCCCGCGGTTCAATTCCCGATGAAAGCAAACATTTTATATTGAAAAAATATGAAAATTATACGCACTATTGTTTATTTATTTTAATTATATTTTATTTATCATAATACTAATTATTATTACGATAAAAAAATGTATTTTAATAAATAACAATACTACGTATTTTTTCAATTTTCTTATGTTTTCCAACATTAAAAAGATTGTTTTCATCGGTAGTAGAGGTCGCAAAATGCAAATTTGAAAGCTGAGCTATCGAGGCATGTCAAGTGAGTTATCTAATCAAATATGTGTGTTGTAAATTACAAATTTGAAGTCGTTGACAGTCCTTTAGCATTGGCCTATCCATGTGACTATTTGTATACCTCAGACCGTGTGACAATTTAGAAACTTACAATGGGCTATATCTCACAAACGAAAGATGATTTTAAAAAATGCTTAAAACCTTTTCTAGAATAGGAAGGGGGAACTCAAATAACATTAAAGAGAACTTGTCTCCATCAACCCCTTATGCCCTACCTACCCCAACTAAAAAAAGTTTAGCAAACCCCTACATAATTGAAAGGCCTATAAAAATGCTATCCAATGATATAAATAATAATTGTACAGGATGAATCAGTAATTGTGAAATCTTGCCTTAAAAGGAAAATTTAATAATAATAATAATACTCTCCCTAATTCACCCTGTTACGAGTGAATTTTAACCCCAAAAGTTGAGCTTGTGCGGGGAAAGGGACGGCTATTATTATTATTATTATTTGCCGTGGCGCTCCGGAGCGACTTAAAGATGATTGATGGTGCCATTTGACCTACAGGTGGGGAAACCCCGGAAAACCTCACCCACCATCATCAAGACGGTAATGCATGGCGATTTTATAATATGCATGTCATATCAACAGAAATTGAATTTCTATTAATACGGCACACATCAAATCTTATACCGAACCATGCAATTTAATTAAAAATCCACATGGTCTGATGTAGGATTCGAAGCCCCTCAGTCTCTGACCACAAACTTGCCTATAAATGAATATAAGGTGTGAGACCGCTACACCACCTACCCGATTATTATATATTATAATGAAATTTTTATCGAACTACAAATTTTTGAGTTCTCTATATTGTCATTATAGTTCCCTCTTCCTATCTAAGAAACGGTTTTAAGCATTTTTTGATATATTTGATTTTTGTAAGTTTTTA